GGGACGAGTCGCTGCGGCCTCACCGCGGGGACTGCGGGAAGTTAAACACGCGCCCGAGCGCTGCGTGAGCCGCAGCCTGAATCAATAACCCGAGAGAGCTGCCCGTGCTGGGAGCCAGCGGGATCCAGCGGTTCCTACCCAGTGCTGGGGAACTGAGGTCGGAATCAGCTGGCAGCATTGGTGTCTGAGGGGAAGGAGGAGGAAGAGCAGCTTCCCAGCGTTGCTGATGATTTAAGATAGTGTAAATAAACACAGACTACTTGAATTAGAGGAGTGTGTGCCGGCTGTTTCAGCAGCCCTCTCCTGAGCAGAACACGCTGTGTTTGAATCCATCTCCAGCTGCACAGAAACAAAACCACCATCCCTTGGGAGAATTTCTGAGGGTTTTTTTAGCCCCTCAGCCCAGTGTCTCGCGCTCAGGAAGATGTGACTGCTCAGGTGCTTGCACGTGCAGCCTCTGCTTTCTCTGATGCCTCCAGGATTTGTGAGCAAGCAGGAATTTAACTTGCATGTGGCTGCTGCACTTGCTTCTTGCGTAGCACCAGTACCTTCCCCTCATTTCAGAGGTGTACCTGGGGGACATAAGCACTTGCTGCAGAAGCAAACAGTGCAAAAGTTGGAAATTGCTACCATGAGAGGTCCTGTGCAGGCCACAGTCTCATATGACCATTTATTCATGGCAGATGTGTTCAAGAAGTTACTGTCGCCTTTTCTCCTTTTGGATATCACTGTTGCTTTGGTTGCTTTAAAAACGGGGTAATTCCACAGATCCCAGCAGTGTGAGCTGATCTACGTGCTGCCCTGTGCACCCTTCTCTCCTGCACTGGTGCCTGCGCTCATCCTTGGTCTCAGGAGACCAAACATGAGCAGGTTCGGGGAGCCGACCAGGTAGAATCTAACCAGCGAAATTCAGGTGAAATAGGGAGAGTGGGAGCCCCTTGCCTGGGGACCACAGGTAATGGAGAAGCACCATTTGCCGTCTTTGGTTTTACCTTGTCGAAGTACTTGTGTGACTGAAGAATTTTTTTTGTCTGATTTGTTTTTTTTGGCGTTACACCTGTAGCCAAACCAGGGACACGGCTGCTTTTCAGGCAGCTTTGTGCTCCAGGTTCTTCGTCCTGCAGCTCAGTAACACAGGATGCCTGGCATCAGGTTTTTCCTTCGTTTATTATAAAAAGATAATCCATGATACCTTGAATTTTTTTCATTGTTTTTAATTCTAGATGATTAAATAGGAGGAGGAACTAGTACAGCCCACTACAAATGCCCATACACAAAGCACCTAAATCTGTGCCCCATACTGAAGTTTTGAATGAATTGATTGCCATTTGGATTACAGGGCCGGGTCAAGCCCCAAGGGAAGTCCTGTGATTGTGTAAAACCGTCAGCTTGCATTTTCTTTGCAGTGTGCCACACGGCATTTCCCTGTTGTTGCTGCTTGACCACATGAATGTTGTTTTTATTCAGCAGAAGACTGTCTGGCTCAGTGTGATAATGACTGCAAAGCTTACTGCTGCGATGGGACTGCTCCCTACTGCTGCTCCTATTATGCCTACATTGGGAATGTCCTTTCGTAAGTAGATTTGCCCTTCGGAGGAAACCGATGCCCCGTGTTCGTGAACTTGATGTGAAAGCAGGTGGCTGGAAAATGTGTTTGGACAACAAACTGGCAGGATTTGGTCTGGTTTGGGATTTGATTGCTTTTTGTTTCATTGCTGGTAGCAAATATTGGTAGTCCTAGAGTCTCATGGTGCCTATCTTTTTAAAGCATGTTTATGTCATGTGCTAAAATATGTCTTTAATAGTGTACACCAATATGTGGTATATTTACAGCTTATTTCCACCGCCTAAGAACTTTTTTCCAAGTTCTTCAAATCAAGAGGGCTACGAATAGAAGTCTTGTATTTCTTTTTTTTTTGGTTGAAAGGCTTTGTTACAACACTTTAGTCAATTCACTATTCAAATAACCTGGACTTGAGGTGTTTTTTTTCCCTCTTTCATTGCTCTTTGTTTGCTTTTTATTGATTTTTTTTATTGTTGTTTTTGCTAAATGATTTTCTGGCCTTTTTTTTGGGGAAATTATTGAATGTATTCTGTGTGGGGGTAATCTGATCCTTTAGCACGGTTGCATGAATAGCATGTTTAACAACAACAAAAAACCCATAGCAGGTGAAACTGGGTGGGTATGACTATTTCCTACGCAGAGCATAGGAACTGGAGTGTGCTGCTCATTAAATACATCGGCTCCAGGGGAGCTGTTAGCTCAGCTCTGCCTCCCTGTTCTCTTCAGAGAAACCTGGGGTGCCGGCCAGCGCATGATTAATGTAAACGACAACCCGTAAGTATTACATTCGTGTGCGAGGATAAACCTAAACAGAACCTACGCTGTTACTCTTCAAGACAGGCCACCTTACCATCTGTTTTGCTAACCCCATCAGTAGTTTCCTTGACCTCTAGCATGCAGTCGATGGTGTATTTTTGTTTTCTATTCCTGGCTAAAAAGCAGGGGAGGAGAAAAAAGAGGGTCGCAGGCACCGCTCCATGCTTGGGGAGGAGTGAGTGGGAAGGTGGTGGTTGCTTTTTCCAGAGGAGCCTCCTCTGTTGCAGGTTTTGTTTTAGCCGTGGTACCTGGGGAACATGTGAGTCTTCCCTCCAGCATATTTTATGGTGCTTTGAAGGAACAGGCATAGTGATGGTGTTTTAATGCGGAATTGATCCACAGCTTTTAAAGCAGATCAGACACTTCCTGGGCTAAAGTAAATAAAATTGTGATACAGCACCACAATCCTTCATCCCCCTGGAAATAAAAGAGCCTGTATTTAAGATTGTCTGTTACTGCTGGAGAATGACAAGTGATTTTTGCTCTTGCCTAGGGAATGTCTGCTTTGATTTTTTTTTTCTCTCATTCCAAGATTGCTTTGCCATTTAGATGCGTGGAAAGAGGTGCTGGCTTTGCACACTTATTCTAGCTCTTACGTGCTAAAGAATGTTGGATGTGCTGCCATAGGATATCCCATTATAAGAAGCAGCCTTCCTATAAAGCAAGAAAGCAAACAGTTTCTTCTCCCACTTCCACATGTGCATCCTTGGCATTTGTCTAGCCTCATGTCAGAGCTGTGCTTTGAAAAGGATCAGCCCAGGGATTTTTTACAGTAACCACCAAATTGCACCTTCAGCATCAAGTTCTTGCTTAGTTTCCTCTATGATTACTTAACAGCTACTGAATTCAGGCTGGGGTGTGAGCGATGCGGGGACATTGGAAAGATTTGTGTGTACTTGGATGACTTTGAACACTGGAGTGGCTCACCACAAGAGCTTGTTTGTCACAGCACATCTTGAAGAGGATGTTTGAGTGTTCTCATTTTTTATGGTTAAGCACTCCAGCACATGGACTCGAAGGCCAGTCAGGAGTCATTATTCTCCTATGACCTGACATTTTGCATGATTGAGCCATAGAATTTTTCCCTGAGAAGCTGTATTGGGTGTGTCTTCTGTAAACACGTGTAATCTCATCTTGTCCAGCGCTCAGGCATTAAGGAGTTGACCATCTGCCCTGGTAAGCTGTTCTTTAGTTAATTTTCCTCACGCTGCCAGGAAATTTCATCTATAATGAATCTCAAATTCATAATGTCAGGTCTTAGTTTATCCAGGAGTTTGAAACGTGGCTTTAGTCACCATGGCAGCTCTCAACCTTGTCACTGAGCTGGGCGAACTGTCAGCTTCACGTGTAAGACCTGCTCTGTTTTGCTTGGCCCTGCCCATAGGTCAACTCTTCAGCTTTTCTTTGAACTCCCTCTAGTACTTTCACCTCCTGGTGAAAGTGAGGCTAGCAGAGCTGAACACAGGACTTTGGCAGGGGTCTTACTAGGATTATTTTTTCCATATCTTTGTTTGGGTATCTATTTTGAAGCAGTTATCTATGATGATCACAGAAAATCGAGCTGGAACAAATTCTAAGTTCATTTGTAAGTCTTGGCCTCACTGTTTCCAAAGCATGTCTGCCACTTCAAGCTTACAGAGTGTTCTTTGTTAGGGGTGCTACCTTGCTTTTAAGTTGTATTACAAAACATGTTGTTGGATTGTGGCATTAACGAGGCCATTTAGATTGCTCCATAACAATAACTTCTCTTTATATTATTTTCACCACACCGATCTTTGCTTTATGTGCAAACTTTATGAGTCAGAGTTTCTTCTCATTTCCCCATCCCAAATAACAAACTGTGACATTGCATTACGAGATGTGACCCCTGGGATCTGGAAATGCCCACTAGTAACATACCTGCTTGCTGTTGTCTTTCTGTGAACAACTTAATTTTCTGCTTTAAAAAATCATCATCTTAGGACACTGGGGAATTTTTTTCTTTAGTCACATGAGGTTTTCAACAAACATGCTTCGGGCTGTGTGCATCCATGATCAGCTTGCTTTTCTTTTTGCACATAAAGAGTGATGCAAGTGATCAGCTCACTCTAATATTAAGACTTAGAGGCATGTAAGAGATGCTCCCATAGCTCCTTCTTCAGTTGGACTAGTTAGAGATATACTCTACAAACATTTAAAGTCTGTGTTTGAGTCACCTATAATCCCATAAATAGCTCTAATGTAAAGCAATACATCCTTCCTCGTTATCCTCCGCCTATTCACTTCTTCATGATAACCTTTCAGAGCAAGTCGCTACCACACTAAGATTCCAGTTGTATTTCCCTTCCCACTAGTTTTCAATAGTTCCAGTCTGTCATTATTTCCTCTGATGCATATGCATTTCCTCCTGTTTGTTTGTCAGGCATCTAGTGCTCAGTAGATGTTTTTCTAAAAATGTTTCTTTTTTTCTCAGGCAGATTACAGATTTATGTTTGGATATGTGTGATGCAGTAGAGCTGTTTCCATGAAATTACTGAAAAGGTGCCGAGATGCTGGGGTGGCCGCATGGTTCCTCCAGTCCCCACGAACAGAAAGCTTTGCATTGTCCTTCGCAGCCTTCCTGCATGATCCCGTTTTTATTTTATTTTATTTTATGTATTTATTTGTTTTGTGGGCCATGTGCAGTTTAAGCCCTCTGGGAGGAGATGCCAGTATTGCTTGCTGTCAGAGCCATTTCCACATGCCAGCTTGGCCCTTTTCATGCTTGTCCACAGCAGTGAGTTGATCTAGGTGAATAATGAAGAGGAGGGCAGAGCAAAGAAACTCTTCTTTTATGTGAATACTGCTGGACCAGTTGAGTGTTCAGTGGAAATGAAGGGACCCCGATTTGGCCCATAGTATTTAGGGAAGTTCATTGATAGGTATTCAGCCATGTTGCAATAAGTTTGTACCTACCTGTGTGACTCTCTAAGGTGAAGAAGCTGGAACTTTGGCTCAAACAGAAGAGGAAGGCCAAAATGCAGTGAGGATACATTGTGTTGCGAAGTGTGTGAAGTTTCTTGGTAAATGCCTAGTGTAAACGTTGTGTGTATGGCCCAGCCTTCGAAACTGAAGAAGAAAAGGCACGCATAATATATTCAAGTGTGACATTTGAAGTACTTTATATCCAGAAGTGCTCTGAGGAAAGCAGCTGACCTCAAAGAATGCCATTTCCATGAAATAAAGAATGCCCTGTAAACTGATTTGCTTGATGGGCAAGCATGGGTTTGAAAGTGGGTATGGTGGAAGAGCACACTGAAGAGAATTAACGTTTCAAACAGTTAAGAGTATGGAGCTTTAGTCTCTGGAGTTCATAGTGAATAAAAAAATCTGGAAGCTTAGCATTTGCTATGAATTCCAAATAATTAAAATTAGACATTTTCAGGCATCCCACAGTAAATATGCGAAGCAGCATATGGACTGGGGACGGTTCTGTGTCTGCACTTCCACTGTCTGGTACTCTACTTAAAATACATTTGGGTTCTTCTACATCAGTGCAGCATTCCAAATTTCACAATGATCCAAGAGCTTTTGGACAACATGCAAGACTTCAGTTGACCTGACATCTACTGTGTCATCGTGCCTGTGAGGCTGGGACTTCTGAGAAGATACCGGGGTGAGCCAGAGGCACGAGTCTGTGAATTTTTTGGCGGGGGCGGAGGAAGGGGGCGGGAGAATGATTGTGTTTTTTTCTGTTTATCTTGGCTTTTGTGGGGTGAGTCTCCTCGAATCGGGCCGCGGAGCATGCTCCGAGCTGCGAGGTGATGGAGGCAGAGTCTGAGCATGCTCCACACTGTGGGCCTGAGGCCGGGAAGGAGAAAACTCCAGTAACGGGGCTAAAACCCTTCACTCCGCGTAGCAGGCGGAGAGAAGTTCAGCTTCTTAACCTTCAGCATCTCAACATGTGGAGTGCCTGCGGAAGTGTGCCATCCTGGGAAAGCCTCTGTGGGAGAGGTGTCCGACTCGCTCACGATGGAGCACGGATTAGTCACAGTCTGCTGTAAGCTTAGGGAAA